GTCTTAATGACCCTCGTGTAGCAGATAGTCTTTTTAGTATGATAATAAGATGTTATCTTCATTGTAGAATAATAAGAAAATATTATAACCTTTATATTATAATAAGGTAAAAGGACCCCAATGGAAATAAGTCACTGTGTCTGACTTTTTTGGGTTATCCCAGGTTCTCTACACGTATGCTGCTATGTATGATAATTCTATGTAACTGTATTTGTGTATACCTGAATAAACTTACTTACTTACTTACTAGTTAGTTTAATATGTTTATTATGCACCCCATACCCATCCTGTGGGCGGTAGTCAAAAGATTACAGAGGTACATAATTGGTCCAGGGACTGGGCCTCAAAGTTTTGATAGCTGAGCAAGTTACAGAGGTAATGAATTCACAATTTACAAAGGTAATGAACTCACAATTTACAAAGGTAATGAACTCCAGGTAGGTCTAGTCACAATCATGACAAGTTACAAAGGTATTTACAGATTACAGAGGTACACAATGGGTCCAGGGACCGGGCTCCAAAGTTTTGATGGCTGAACTAGGTACAAGGTAATGAACTCACAAGTTACAAAGGTAATGAACTCACAAGTTACAAAGGTAATAATACTGTAAGAATGGTTACTTACGTTTATACATGGCTGCAATCATGAACAAATTTTAGAGTAATGAGCAATTGACACTTACTTACTTACTTAATAATACTTGTGGAGCTGTGTGGAAAGCCGGGTGGAGGGACAACATTACGTTTTCTCTGCTCAGCCATCAGAGAAAACGTGCATGAATCTGCGTTTGGCCCAGCCACTCCCTCACTCCGCTTTTGTTTACAATTTTCGGCATGAATTATTCATTACTTCTACCTTCTTTTTATGATGGCATCTAAAGGTAGCTGTTACAAATGATTAAATTCAGTGAACAAGACATGTCGATGTTAATAATATGGCTCTGGGCCACAGTGTGGGTTTAGCTTGAGCCCCAGGCGCTACACCTACCGGTTACCTACACTGACTTCCTAAAAATAAATACTACTCACCTCTCTTCCTATATTAAGAATACACATATTTAAGGTAAATAATGAGTGTACTGTATGTGTATTTTAACCTCTCTGGGATTTTTTAAAATATCGTATATTAAGTATGAGACGGGGAGCCAGTGCTACCTACACCTGGGCTCCCTGCACCTGACTTCCTACAAATAAGTACTACTCACCTCTCTCCCTACATTAAGATTACAAATACTTTAAGATAAGTAATGAATTTACTATGAATGTATTTTACTTTGTGCGTTTTTTAATGCCTAGTTCTATTACTAACTTAATATAATTTAGTGTAAACTTGTTGTCTGGCATTTATATGCATTTATAAATGGGAAAAAAATGGCGTTCTGCCTTCCGGCGATGTCTTGCTTTCCGGCGACAGCCTGGAACCTAACCCCCCGGGTATATGTGGGCCCTACTGCATATATATATATATATTATATATATATATATAATATATATATATATATAATATATTATATATATATATATATATATATATATATATATGTGTCGTGCCGAATAGGCAGAATTTGAGATCTTGGCTTAAAAATAGCAATGTTCATCTTGCCATATAGGACAAGTGAAAATTTGTGTATGCAATAATTTCGCCAAATCATTCTGAACCTAACGAAAAAAAATATATTTCACTGTGTTTGGTTAGTATTAAATTATTGTAAACAAATCTAAAATATTTTAACTGGGTTAGGCTAAAAAAAATTGTTCTTGTTATAATAAGGTTAGGCAAGTTTTCTAAGATTCTTTTGGTGCAAAATTAAATTTTTTTAACATTAACATTAATGAAAAAATGTATCTTTAATTAAACGCATAGAGAAAAATTTTTGAAAGGACTTAATTTTAAATGAGTTCTTGCTAATTGACCAGTTTTACATATTCGGCACGACATATATAAAAATATATATATATATATATATAATATATATATATATATATATATATATATATATATATATATATATACATTATATATGCAAAACAACCACTGTGAAGAATAGAGAAATTCCAAGTGCTTTTGTGACTACTCACATTATCAAGGAACATTGTTCCTTGATAATTGAGTAGTCACGAAGTGCTTGGAATTTCTCTATTCTCTCCAGTGGTTGTTTTGCATATTCTGAAATCACCTGTTTACTGTGATCTTTTTGCATATATATTTTATATATGTATAAAATATATATATATATATATTTTATATATATATATATTATATAAAATATATATATTATATATATATATATATATTTTATATATATATAAAAATATAATATATATAAAATATATATAATGTATATACATATATATCAATAACACTGCGCTAGCCAAGGATTCGAACCCATGTTGCACTGGCCCGCCCATGATTAGCCAGAACCACATGATGCCTTAACCCACAGTGGGTCCATTTAAAGGACGAGAAAATGGGAACATTTAAAGGGGAGACTTCTAAAAGTTATACAAAGAAAAATGGAGCTCATTAAAATAAACTCATTTAAGAGGGAGGCATCTGTAATTACAAGGAAGGCAGCCACAGTTACTCATCCCACATGATTTGAGGCAAACTCTGGTTCAACCATCAGAAACTGCAGGAAAAAATAGCCCCTAATTCTTAGGGGTGGCACTACATTTAGGACAATCTAATGCAAGAGCCCAATATTTTACTGTGTACTATTGCCTCAACTAAAAATGCATCTAATTTGAACAACCCATCACTAAAAATTGTATAATGAATGCTTATCATGGTTAAAAACTGCTGATTTTTACAATATTCCTTTCGAGCCAAAAGGAACAAAGGAAGATGACTCTTGCTTCCTGCCAGTTTTCCAGGTTATTACTAGCTCTAATGTGGTTGAAAATCACGTTCGACTCCTGTGCTATATGTACTGAATAATGGTGTTATGAAATTCTCAGTTCTAATGGTTTTCCTATCTGTCTCAAATAGGAGAGACTGCAGCTGTTGCAACCAATTCTGAAAACACCACCAGCATGCTGTTGGGTTTTAGTTCTTTTTCGGAATGCTTCTAACAGTCCATGAATTTTTAAATACTACTTGTATATTAAATCTTTTAAGGGCGTTTGGCAGGAGAGAGAACTTCTCGTTGTATGAGAGGACCAACAAATTTCTTAGTGTGAGGCTTATCTTAGGTTCTGTTCCATAATAAAGTTTTCTTAGCTGCCAGCAAGGCAGCTAATGCTATAATATTCATCCTTCTGCCTATGGGCACTGGTTTTGCCTGGAGGCACTTCCTGCCCTTCTCTCCCTCCCTCCCTTACTCCAGTGAATGCATCCTCTGGGGTGTATTAGCTCGACATCCTTCTTTTTTTTTTTTGCAATTTTGCAAGCTCCTGATGTATTGATTGAGACATGAAAGGCCAGGACATCATTCTACTCCCCCTGTGGTTGTTTTGTATCATATATATATATATATATATAAATATATATATATATATATATATATATTATATATATATTATATATATTTGCTAGGAGCACCCTGGGAAGCAAATGCCATTGACACAATTCTCAGGAAGAAATTGGAAGAGTTAAGGAGAATGGAACAAAAGAATAGGCAATCTGGACACCCACGATGCCTTGTACCCTTTTCACAAAGTGCTTGAGTCTGCCCAGGTTGACTATTTCCTAAGATGTGCACCTTCATATGATAACCCTATACTGCACGGGAAAATGACGATTTGAGGCAGATTTTTACGAAATACTTAAACCTTTCTTAAAAACGGGCAGTGGAACCAATACACTTCCCGTCAATGGGGGCATTGGTGTCCGCAAGTCCTCACAGATTGCGTTACCTGCTTTTCTGTCCTCGTGTATTGCACCGAGAGCTTGTAGCAGCGATTCTCCCCGAACATCTTAGGGGCAAGATGGGGCCCCGGACCAAAAAATTTATTGACGGAGCAATGATATGGGATAAAACAACGGGGTAGAAAACCCGACCCGCTCCCCCCCAAAAACCCAAAA